AAGTTACTTCATTTGTTAATAGTGTGTGTGTGTGTATATATATATATATATATATATACACACACACACACGTATATTGTCTCACATGGTAAATATAATTAAATAATGAGTTTATTTTGATGTTCAACTTTAAAACAAATTTACATATGCCTGTTAATTTTATGTTTGGTATTATTTGTATATCTCAAATACTAACAAGACCAAAGATTTTACTGTTATTTTAAATTTCTGAATACTTGTGAAAGGGACAAGTTTAACTGTCACACAGTTAAATTTGTACCTTTTACAAACATTCTAAGTTGTATTTTAGCTAATACCAAAGACATTCCAGCATTACAACAGAAACTTTGTATATAGATAGTTTTAAAAATTATTATATTTCTTTTGGTTTTTGTTAAGCACAAAGCTAAACAATGGGATATCATTCATGATGATAGTGACTGTGTTACAAAAATTAATTGGCTGAAACAACTAATAAGAACTTTATCTTTCATCTAAAAAGTCTTTCTTTTTATTTTGTAACTTTTAATATAAAGTATCTGATCATAAAGTACAAGTCTGGCATGTAGTTTCAGAACTAATTTTCTTACCCTTCTTATACTTTTGGAGATTTGATTCAGTGGATCATTTCACTATATTGATCATATTTTCTTATTACTGTTTATATCTAAGAGATGTTTATTTTATCAACATTGAAAACATTGCATCCTTACTTTATTACAGGAGTGGCACTGAAAGACCTGATTGCTGAGTACTTTGTTTCTCCAACTTTGCTGCGTGTTGTTCGTGTTGTTAAAGTAGGTCGAGTGCTGAGATTGGTCAAAGGGGCCCGTGGAATACGGACGCTACTTTTTGCACTGGCAATGTCCTTACCTGCATTATTCAATATTTGCCTTCTTCTATTCTTGGTCATGTTTATCTTCGCTATATTTGGAATGTCATTTTTCATGAATGTAAAGCATCGCTATGGTGTAGATGATAATTTCAATTTTGAAACATTTGGACAGTCAATGATTATCCTCTTCCAAATCTCCACCTCTGCTGGCTGGGATGGCATTCTTTCAGCCATTATTGATGACAATGACTGTGACAGTGGAACAGATACCACTGAAGGAAATTGTGGAAATAGAGGCATTGGTGTTGCTTACTTGATTTCGTATTTGATAATTAGCTTTTTAATCATCATTAATATGTATATAGCTGTCATATTGGAAAATTATAGCCAAGCCACAGAAGATGTGGAGGAAGGCTTAACCAATGACGACTATGATATGTACTACGAGATTTGGCAGAGGTTTGATCCAGATGGAACTCAACTAATCAAATATGAAGTGCTATCAGACTTTGTAGATGCCCTTGAAGATCCCCTACAGATTAAAAAGCCTAATAAGTACAAACTCATTGCTATGGATATCCCAATATGTGAAGGAAATACGATTTACTGTGTAGATATTTTGGATGCTTTGACAAAGAACTTTTTTGCCTCCAAAGGTCGAGTAATTGAAGAGACAGCTGAGCTAGCTGAGGTTGTACCTGCAAAGGAACACAGAGAGTTTGAAGCAATCAGTAGTACTCTCTTACGGCAGAGAGAAGAATATTGTGCACACGTAATCCAACAGGCTTGGCGACAATATAAAGGGCTGATTCAAAATGGCCCACCTCATCAGCAGACTGAAGTTGTTGTTGAGAGTGATGGTCACATCACTAAGAATGGACACAAAGTTGTGATCCATTCTAGATCACCCAGCATTACAAGTCGATCTACAGAAGTGTAAAACTTCTCTGAAAGTATGAGAAGAAAAGAAATAGGCTTGTAGCCAATCTGGTAGAGAAAGGAGCTGTCCGTCGATAACAGTTGGATCAGGTTATATTTTTATATTCTTTATGCAGAAGCTACTTGCCACCATGCTTACAATGCCAGTGCTTGGTTGATATAAAATAACCAGGGTGTTGCCATTATTATTTTTCTACAGAAATTGGTTGGTGTTACAGTCAATTTATACTGTTTATATGCAAAACATTGACAGAAAGCATTTGTTTTGTATAAAATATTTAGTTTAAAATGTTTGATGGTGGACTATTTTTGTTGCATTTTAAGTTTTGTTACTGTACAAATTAGAACATGAACTTCAATATTTATGCTTCCATTGTTAAGACTGCTGTTTTCCTCAATGTTGTTTTAAAACATTGTACTAAATTTGTTTACTTGGAGTCAATGAATGAAGCTTCGAATCACCATAATTAAGACTGAAATTGCTTGTTTTGCTATCCAACTATATGGGTGATTTTTAGGATTGGCTGAGAAAAAGTAAAGCTCATATTTCTAAGGAGTTCTATACAAAGCACATACTGAAAAGAAAACCTTGAGACATCAGGCCACGTTTAAAAACTGCTGTAAGTGACAGTTTTGCATGAAATGCTGAAAACTAGTGAACACTTTTATAGAATGTCAGTCAAATAGTCGGTAAGAAGCAAAAAATTACTTGCATATTTTTATTTTGTTCAAAAAATAAAAGGCATTTTTGGCATTAATGTTCCTGACAGTTAACAGAAAATTTGAAAGAGCAATAGTAGTCTCCAAGTCTGTTTTTTTTAAGTGAAGCATTAAATTGATTTATTAGGTGTTATACATTACACGGTTTCCTTTTTGAATAAAATTAATACTAACTAAATCATTCTCTCTCCTTTGTTTGCTTAAAAAGAAGATGGTATTGAATTGGAAGAAACTGTGATATGGTTAGGAAGTGTGATATATATATTACCTTGAAAGTTTGAAAAAAGTTTTATTCAGTGTTTATTTTTAAGTTGTTTTAATATCATCACTCATTAAATGCTCAATTTTATTGTTAATTGCTCTTACACAATCTAAAAATCTCCCATATATGGAACCAGATCATTGAAGTGTTAAAATGCGTATGAGATACCACGCTTAATTATTTTGCACCACAGAAACTGCTGGCCATGTTTAAATTCTTGTTCAGTCTGTGCCTTTATGTAGAAGTTGCCATTTGATCAATGCCACTCAGTTGGTGAAATCAACAACATATTGAAAGTTTGCTCTCAAAACCTGTAGAGAGAAATTTTAACAAGAACAATGTAATCTTTGTATATGATTCACAGGAATATACAAACCACTCGATGTTAGCAAAGTGTGTGGTTAATAGATATAGCCCACTAATAGTTGGCAAACAGTGTACTCTGAAGGAACATTCTAGTCTTTGGCTGTAAACTTATATATAGAGAGAAAGATATTTGCACAGAGTGATAAAGAGAAAAAAAAAGAAAAAAACATTGTGCAACTAAGAAAGGTAATTAATGTCTAACCCTATGGAAGGTATTTATCCAAAGTACTTTGACCAATTTCCCTGTGTGCTTCTAGATATTACTTTTGTTTAGTTATTGTATCATTACTGACAGCCTGCACGTGCACTTTCTTGCCTTTTATTACCACCTTTTTCGACCTCGCTGTCAGCAAAAGATGGTTATGGCAGGAAGGGGTCAATTTCTTAAGCTGTTTGCACCCTTACCAGATCTTGGTGGTTTTTATGTGAGAACCACAGTCATGTATATGCATCAGTCTTTTCACTTGGAAGTAGAGAATAAGATGAAACCATATGACATTTTGGCTGTGTTTAGTGAACATGACTGATGCTGGATTCTACCAGAAGGTTGCTCCTTTATCGACAGAGCAGCCAGGTGGGGGAAACCCCCCCTCAAAGTGGCTATTTTGTTTCTCATGTGCCTTTGTGAGTTGTAACTTTTCCATCCGGGATTTTCATGCATTTGCAGTGTAGCTATTTAGGAATATTTTAATTTTTGCTTTTTTATTTTGCAATAATTTTCTTAATCATCGGTAATTGTCTTTCAAAGCTCATGTTCTTCATCTTAAAAAATAACCACTGTATGATTTATTAAGATGCTAAATCAAATGCAGTTGAACTCTTAACATTTCACTATGCATATATTAAGGCTAAGTTTTGTAGCTTTAAAGCAGTGTAGTATATTGACTAAAATTTTTTTTATTGAGAATAAAAAAGAATCATTTTATGCTAAATGCAACATTGCTTCCTAAATTAGTACTGGAAATCCACTCTCATTCTAGAACAGTAGTATTGTAATAAATCATAAGGTCACTGAAACTTGATAGACTGCATTGTGTAGTGCTACTAGAAACATTCTTTTAGAACTAGTTAGTACTCTCATCCTATCACTGTTGTACCAGAAACACCTCTTAACCTTTTTTCACTTAGTTCACATGCTCGTCTGTTAAATTCAGGCTGTCAAACATATTTTTTCTTTGTAAATGTTTCAAATTTCACAATTTGTATCATATTATCTGTAAATACATCATTGAATAAATTTTGATAATTTATCACAATGAATAAATGCTGAAGCTGAGCACTGGTTGCTTTTTTTTTATGTAAAATGTTTCTTTTTAATTTGTTTTTTTTTATTCTGGATCAGCTTGCAGCTTTATGTCTCTTTGAAACATTTTCTGTAGATAATGTTTCTCTCTCATCTTTGAAGACACTGCTCTTACTTTATGCACTAGTGACAAACAAAATGAAGCTGCAAGAAATAAGAGAGAATATCTACTGTTTAACAAAATAAGATATATATGTATTTTTAAATATTTGACTGATAATCATAATCATTACTGTTTTATTAATTAATAAGACTATCTTTTTGTTGGATTTTGCATGATTTAAGCATATCAAGCAGGATTACAATACACATTTCACATTTGTAGAAGGTATTTTATTTGGCCACTAATGATAAATTTGACATATATAATTTTTTATTTCGGATTTTTTTATTACTTCCCCTCATAACACTAAAACTCAACAATCATAATTAAAAACAATGTATTAAACACTACCAGTTTGGGGTATTATTTTCATTATTAGATTATTCCTTAGTAAAAAGGGTTCTCTCTTCTGAGTGGTTACTTTTAATGGTTCAGTGTCAGAACTGTTAACCATCAGTTTTTATTTGCACGAGTTAGACTTTTCAAAATTAATGTTGGTTATTAAAATAAGTTATTTTCAGAATGGGTAACTCTCTCTCATTTTTTTTTCATTGACATGGAATTTGAATAGAATTAGTAATCATTTACTTTAGTATGATGATCTGCACTTCTTTTGTTAATATATTCAAATAGTTTTATATAAACTTATCAATACCATTTGAACAGTAAGCATCTGTGTACATAAAACTAATCTTACTTTGGTACATATATTTCATTTTGATTCATATCATAATTGAATTCCACCATTTCTCTATTTTAAAGGAAGGTTTTCACTTGTGATCCAAACAGTTAGGGATAAAATAAATGAAAACAAAAATCATACTTGAAGGCCAATTATAATAAAATTGTTTTCAAGAGACTATAATAAATTTTATTCAAATAACCTGTAAATATAGTTTAGAGAATCAGGTTTTGAAGGGTGGCTCATGATAAAATATTCCTATCATTCTCTCATATATTTGATGAATCACCCTCTCTACATTGCACAAGATTAACAAATATGTCATGAATTTTCAGACTATTTTAATATCAAAATAATATACTACTAAAATATTTATTGTGATTATTTATATTCCTATTACAAAGCAGAGTAGTATATTTTCAAAATACAATATTAACAGAAAGTGTGAATCTGCTGTTTAATTCTGTTTCAGTATTCGTATGAAGAATTGTAACATTGAAATTCAAGAATATAAACTTAAAAGGTTAATTTTCATTTTATATTAATATGAATTGTTTGGTTAATTAAAGGTTAATTTAACAACCTCCACTGAAAATATAAACTTGTCTACATTTCACCAGTTTGAATTCTTGGTGAGAATTCATAGAAATATAACAACAAATTTCAACATCTATATCAGAGCTTGGGGATTCGTAGAATTTGCTAATCATTTCAATATTCTCACGTGAGACTTGGATGGTTGGAATAACTTAAAGAAATAATCACAAACACTAATTTTGATTAGTTGATTACCCTTTTAAGTCATGATGCTAATTAAGCTGAATAATGTTGAATCAATTCAAAATAATAATGAGAGATCATAATGGCATTATTTCAGTAACTTGTTTACCTGAAATAATCAGAAACAGTAATAACTGGAAATACTAAGTTTGATCAATTGATTTATCTTTGTGACCTTATGTGACTCAACATATTTTTGATTAATCAATTACTTTATCTGACACTAAGTGATGCTCATAGGTAATCAATTAATTGAGTTATTTGCCCAGCTCTAGTCCATATAAGTCACCTAGCATTTGAAATTGTTTCAAACGATTCTTGATATTGAGCTAAGTACAAAAAATTGTTCTTCCTTACATTATAAATACTTTTAAGATAGATAAATAAAAGTGTATGTGAAGTTACTTTGTTAATGTACACATATTTACAGTGTAGCTGTTCAAAATCCTCTTCAACTATGTTCTTGCATTCTACACTGAAAAATATAATAATGTTGAAAAAGCTTTAAATAAAATATTCCAGATGATTAATAACCCAACAAATTATTTTACAATATTTTGTAATGGATGTTTTGGACGTTAAAGACAATGTGTATTTCGGACATAAGTTCTGAATCTTATATATTACATTTTCATATCTGTCTTCTCTTCTGTGATTTATTTTTAATATCTACATAAATATTAAAACGGTTACGACAAATTTAGATGTAAGTAGGACAGGTAAAATATATTTTTTCCCAGATGTCAGTATAGTTTTAACCAAGTGTTAAAAAGAAAAATATTTTCAAATTATCACTGAATTCAATATACATATTATGATTTGACACAAACAGAGTAAATATTCACAGTATTAGAACTTGTGTAGAAAGTCACTAAACCTATCCTGAAGTGAATGAAATAAATTCACAATAATGACAAATGGCACATTCTTCACAAGTTTTAATTCGAAATAAGATTTTCAGAAAGTTGCATGGTTTATATTTGACATAAGTCAGTATAAATGTTTTAAAATTACTACCATGTTTAAAACAATTTATATGAAACAAAATTAAAAATAAGGCACACTGTAAAATGTTAGTTTTTAAAATTTTGTTATGTATTTTAATATAAGAAAGCTTAGTTCTTTAATTGTGCTGCAACATCTCAAAGATAACTCAGAAGACAGGTATTATTAAATTCAGTAAGATAAAACACATTCAAACCTAATGCTAAAAAAAGATATTGTACCATATTTTACTTGCTGGTTGTTAAGTGTATTTACCTTTCCAAGTGAAAGCTCTCATTAGAGAAAGATCAAAGGATTTCTTTGTTTGGGTAACTAAATGAGTCTTACAACTACAAATTCAGAAAGTAAAAGTTCATCCGATATCTAGCAAGTAAATTGCCTGAATCCTAGTTTAAAGCATACATGGCCTAACAGGGTTATTTAAATTAACCTATTTGAATCAAAAACTGGTTTGATTATACACTTACTTATTTGAGTGTTATATATGTGTAGTTCACTATACATTTTATACAGTTGCTAATTATCAAAGTGTTCTACGTCATGTTTAAATTATACGAGTAGTTTATAAAATTAAAGTTAGGTTATATATATATGTGTGTGTGTGTGTGAGTCTTATCATAAATAGTAAGCTATTTTATTTACAAATATAATTGTTTTGTAATATGCGCATTCTTACATATTTTAAGTTTTGTCAAAAACATTGCAATTTGGAAACCTGTATATTTCGACTAGTTGTTTACAAATCTATGTAATGCACCAAACTCTTGTTAGAAAACAGGAGTCATGGGCATGATATTTTAATAAAAATAAGAGCCAGAATGTAAGATATTCTGGTAGCACGTCTCCTAAATATATAAACAAATCAACAAAGTTTATCACTCACCTAGATTCCTTATTTCTTTTTGTTAAAAGATTTAATGTTTTGTGCACACTCAATTTGGATGCTTAGGTTACTTAAAAAGGTAACATTAACACCTAAGTATACATTTTTTTCAAAATTAAAAAAAGGATTGTTTATTTTACTTGAGCCATAGGCAATATACAGGCAAAACATATATTGATTTAACAGAGTCCATTTGACTTAGACAAAATGTGGTATTTACCAGAAAAAAATTTAATAACCATAGTCCATCAATTCATTATGCAGAAAATTGAATGTAAGCTTTGTATAATAAAAAATAAAATGTGCATACTTAAATGGATTAGTTGTGTACATAACAAGTACGAGTTTTAGCAATGACATTACATAATTGTTGATGTAAACTCTTTAAAAAAATAGTATTAAGTTTAAGAAAATAGGCACTATTCATGAGCTTTTTTTCACATTAAATTTATTTACCTGAGTTCAGAAGAAAAAAAAGTAATTATGAATATTTTTCCCACTAATATATTTCTCTCAATACCGAAGAACATTCCTTTTCTAATACAGGATATAATACAATGAAGAAAATTTTTGAATTTAGCATATAGGTTAACATATATTATAACTGTAAGGGCATAAGTTAACAAACAAACAAATGTGGGGACATCAGTCAGCTCCCTGTAAGTGAAAATGTCAAGTGACACTATTTACCATGAAGATAAAAGTAACACAGATGAAGTGTTATGATATCAAGCAATGCATCATACCAGGGAAAAAAAAATCAAATAACATAAATTCCCTTTGTAATATGTTACAGTAGATTCTTCAGTAAATTTCATCATGAATTTAAATGCTAAATGTAGCATTTGTATACAAATATTTCAGTCAGAACTGGTGAAAAAGCGACCTTATAAGCATGTTTTCAGTTTGCTTGAAGAAAATTGTCTAGAAACTGATTATAGGTAATTTTAATTCAAATTATGGCCAGACTAAGACTATGGGGAATCTGAAAAATGTGTAAAAGAATCAAGCAAAAGAACAACTGGTTTGCATCAGCAAAGTTAAAAGAAAAAAGCTCATGAACACATCAACCATAGGTAGTTTTAACCTACTTATTGATTTTTATTTCAGACTAGATCTGATTGAGGTGTTTATGGTTGTTAATGAAAATGTCAATGCCTCATATTTTTTCAGACTTAATGATAGGTGTCATCTTCAGCTAAGACAGTTTTATTTTTCTAATTGGCCTTTGGAATTGGTTGCATTCAGATTTATGGATGCAACAAATTTAAAGGAGTTTAATGGTAAGCTTGATAAATATTTGAATGATAAGGGCTGGCTTTGAGTGTTTTTTTTTAAGTTTAGTTTAATGGAATGGACAGTCTACAAACTTATGTGAATAATAAATCTTATGATGTGGAGATGATATATATAAACTACAGATAATATATCAATTGTATTTTTATGACTGAGGTATGCCCATTAGTTATATAAACTTAACTGATAAGTGACTGATAATTTTCAACAAA